ATTTTCACTAATTATTTAGATTAAGAGGTGTGGGGAATATTTATCATATTTGGAAATGATACAAAAATGGGTGAAATGGCTAACAGCCAAGAAGAGAGAAGTTATATTAAAAATAACCCTGACAGATTGGAGAAACGAGCTGAATATAACAGAACAAAATGTAAAAGAGAACAATGTGATGGTTTTCATTTCAGACACAAGAACCAAATGCAGGATTATAGGAAGGGAGATACCTAACTTATTGATAATCGTTGCAATACAAGTTTTTTTATCACTAGTTGATTACAAATGATAGCTGTATAATAGAGTGGCAAAGCAGGCAAGTGCAATGCCATTTGTTTGCATCCACAGAAATATCATTTGCAAGTCCACAGGAAATTATTGTTGCCCTCTGCTTCAACAATCTCAGTCTGAACACTACGCTTAAACAAGGATTTAGATAAGCTGTAGCTGATCAATAAAAGGCAATGAAGATTATCATGGAATTAAAAACAAAACCTCATAAAGAGAAATTGAAACACTTATTTTGTTTCACTTTGACAAAAGATGGTTAAAGAAGGATATACAGCACCCTTCAAATACCTAAAAGGATGCCACACACAAGGGTCCTGCCATTCCAGAATGTAGGATATAGAATAATGGACTTAATTGATAGGAACACAGATTTTGGTTGCACAATACTGTAGGAGACAGAGAAAGCGTCCAGTCTGATATTCCTCAGAGAGTTGGTTGGTTCTCCTTCACTGAATGTTTACACGCAAAGGCTAGAGAGCCATCATTCCTTGATGCTTTCATTCAATGAACAGGAGGTTGGACCTGGAAGCCTAAATGGTCCATTACAATCTATGATTCTATGTTATCCTCCATTCAAATAATCTGAATGAATAGAAAAATTACTTCTCCGTATATGTTTCTATTACAAAACAGAATTCTAACTTTTAAGACTATGACACTGTTATTGTCAGCCAGTGACTTAATGGAGCAATTATTATCAATTTAAAGACATTTGTTTTTGCTATTTATATATGTAGAAATGAAACAGGAACAGAGATGAGCTCTTGCATGCGTCAGAAAATTGAGAGAACTTACAGTATCACCATCTGCTTCTGGAACATTTAAGTAGTTCCATTTCCTTTCAGAATTTGAAGGAGAATTCTTTATTAGGTAGGCAAAAGGCAAAGGAAAGAAGAGCATTATGTAGCACCAATAGGGATATAGAAATTCAAGGAACAGTTTGAGAAAGTAAAAATGGATAAAGAAAAGACACAAACTACTGTATGGAGAAAAGTGACTAGTAAATAACCCCCATTTATAGAGACAGGTATACAAGAAATTATGTTATCTCTCCAACAATGAATTTAACCTTAGGCTGAGCACTCATTTTCCTTTTGCAGTATTATAGAAATATTTGGATAAAAACATTTTGTTATCAAAGGCAGATGTCTATCTACCCACATACCAGCAATCTGTAGCTAATGTATTTTAATCAACCATTTAAAATTCCTTAGAATGCAACATATTTAAATGCTGTAATCAGGGCTTTTTTTCAGCCGGAACGTGGCGGAACCGCGTTCCGGCACCTTTTTCCGGGCCGGCCGCACCGGAAATAGCCCCTCCCACACCGGAAATAGCCCCTCCCAAATTTTACTTGCATTCCTGTTCTCTAAAGGGGCGGTCCTAGGGTTTGATGAGGGCGTGGCCAGGTTTGAGTTCCGCCACCTTTTCTCCGAGAAAAAAAGCCCTGGCTGTAATTACTATAGCAATTATACTACTTGCTAGTTGCCAACAAATAATTTACTTGCCAAGCATCAAGTGAAATTATCCACAGTTTGGTGTAGTGGTTAGGGTACTTGATTGGAAGGTGGGAAAATGAATTTTAGTCCTTCCAGAAGCATGAAAACTAGCTATGTGACTTTGGACTGGATGTTTTTTCTCAGTCTAACCGACCTCACAAGTGGTTGTTATGAGGAAAAGAGGAAGGAGGAGAACTATATACACTGCCTTGGCTTTTACAAAATAAAGGAGGGATTTTATCTAATAATAATGACAACAACAACCATAATAGTGCTATCTTAAATGTTAAGCTGTTATTTGCTTAATATGTGTAATATACAATATTCTTTCTAACACAAAAGGAAAATAATGATTGGATCCAGATTTCATCAGCCTGATGAACTAGGCCCTACCCTATGCCCTCCTGACATGTTGGACTAATTCTTATAAACTTCAATAACATAGCTGAAACTTCTTGTAATCCCCAGTTATAAATAGACAAAAAGTAGTTACTGTATATTCATAACTATTGGCTATATCCATCAAACTAAGTGCATAATAGTGCTTTTGTTGAACAAAAATTAAAGTCTCTAAAATCCAAATAATGGCAATGGCATTTAATCTACCAAAACAGGAGAACTGAAGCTAAAAATCAGCCATGGAATGAAATACAACAGAATAAAATATATTAGAAAGGAACATGGTCTATGTATGAAAAACCTAATATACTGTAGGAAGAAATTGTAAAAGGAAGGCATGCATATGCATTTAATAGGAACTTACTGTGGAAAATCCACTTGCCAAATTACTTTGCCTTTTTGAAAAGCCAGAGGCTATAATGTCATCCATATCCTCTTCTGCTTCATTCAGGTAGTCCTAATGGGAAACCAAAGCACACATCCACCGTTAAGGAATCAAATGATATTGAATTAGGAAGGGGGTGAGTGAAGGAGTAAACAGGGAAAATGTTATCTTCTGTTGCTTTTTAAATAAAACCATTTACCTTAACTTCAGTATACCCTGTTTCACTTTTTCTCTTTAAGAACATTTTAGTGTTTGAGATCTCACCAGTTATAGTGAACATCTAGCCCATCATACTTAACAATAACAGCTGAAACTCTCCCTTACAAATTATACCGAAAAAGGTTTCATTACACACAGTTATTTAAACTGTGTCCCCTAGTGTGGCTGATCCATTTATAAGCCAAGCTGAAGCTCTGCTGAGACTGCAAAGATGGAAAACTGAAGGGAAATGCTCCCCTCTGCCTGCCAAGACTGAAAGCCCCATGCAATTGCTCTTGTGGTTGTTAGACATGGAGCAGCTGCCAGTTCCATTCTGTATTAAAATGTTGTGTTCTGCTAGGCAGCTGCCAACTGCCACCCTTCACTTCAAAAGACAAAGCAAGTGCTGACAGTGGTTCCTTGTTTGATATCTCTGGCTGGGCCAAACGCTGAAGCTGTGCTTCAAGGGGAAAAACAAATCAATTACATTCACATTTTTGCTTAATTGTTTCATGTGCTCACTTTATGGTATTATGATAGAAGGAGGACAAAAAGGTGGTGACAGAGATGGTGGTAATAACTAAGTGGAGGTAGAAACTGACTATGAAGCTGATCCTTGTTCAGAAATGTCTTCCCTTTCGATAGACAGATGAGAACAAGTCTCAAAGGCACATTTAGCTAAGGATCTGTAAAATGTTCGGGTTGTGTCCATAGAGGGAGAAGCAAGAGATCATGTGCAGATATCAGATAGATGGAAGTTTGCAAAATACATGTACTGCTGCCATTGCTCACTATATGAAGGCAACTCATTAACTATTCACATATATTTGTACTTTTGATATAAACTGTGACATACATATGAATTACTGGAATCAGTCAAATCAAAATAAAATAAAAAAGTCAAAATATTCTAATTTGTAAACTTTGTATCTTTCCAGCTCACCACATCACGGTCCAGTGCTCCAGGTACAGATTTACTTCTTAAGCTTAAAGTATCTTCATTTCCTTCTGAAAAGGATCCGCTGAGATCTCTCTCTGATCTACTACGATCTGCAAAATATAAGTCAAAGCCATATATAGTGTATTAGCAATCTATACAGAAGATATTGTATCTTTTAACTTTTTTGTATGATGGACTATTTATCTATTTTTCCACAACTTCTTGTTTTTACCCATCAATTTCCTCTTTGCCTAAAACCTACAGAAAAGATAAAATTCAAGAACCAAAAAAAAAACAGATTACAGGAAGAAATTCAGTGGTGTTTTTCTTTTTTTTCATTCTTTGGAAAATCAAACAAGTAGAGGGAAAATGTATGTCATGCAAGTTGAGTCTCTAACACTCCTGCAATCTATTTTTAGTAAGTGAAACAGTTATTAAGATGTATCTTTCATCCAATTGCTATGCATATAAAAGTGTTGAATAAAATTTAGAGAAGAAATGATCAGCAAAGGCTAAAGTTTACAGATGTTTATAAAAAAACCTCATCTTTGTTTTAAGAATAATTATGACAGACACGTAGCGATTTCTTCATTAAAGGGAAAGAACCACAGTTCTACAATAAAGTGTGCATTTTAAAGCAGAATGTTCCATTCAGCCCTATTCATCTTCAGTTGAAAAAGAATCAGGCAGCAGGTGACCTATGCCTGAAGAGCCACTGGGAATCAAATAAACAATACTGCACCAGGATCCAGATCAGAACTACGAAACGTGCAGCCCATCATTATCCTTTGATGGTCTCTGCAATCACAACAGAGTAGGTAAGCCAAAAATACGGTCGGTCGGTCGCTCTTTGTCTTTTTTGCAGTAAAGCTTGCAGGAATATTATAGGACATCCATTTCACCCTTGAGACCACCTCACAAAATCTCACAAAATCTCACCCTTGAGACCACCTCATAAACTCCCTCCCTTTCCTCTTCCAAACTGCATTTGTCAATATAACCCTGAATTGATAGAAGCTCTGCATTTCTGATCTAGAATGACAAAAGGCTAATTCTTAGCAATTCTAAAAAAAAAAAAATCCCCAAGAGAAAAAAAAACATGGGAGAAAAAACAAGCTAAACAATGAAAAGGTGTAGTGATAGCAATTCACAAGTACATCAAAGTATCAGTAAGTGAAAGCTCACCAGATGATAAAGATGTCCTAGAAATTGCCACAGAAGGTGTTCTAGATCCTTTCCTACGATGCCTTTTTGACAGATCTGCAGGGATACTTTCACTGATAGACATAACAATATTGTTTTCTAATTCAGAATCCTGTTCACATAAAACAACATATATTTAATGAATCACACATATAAGAAAACTTTTTAACATATGAAAATACACTAGTTGTATTTGAAGCAAATCCCCACAAGTTCAATCCAATAATTTTAACTTTTCATTGTTTGTTCAAAAATGGTTGTTACTCAGAATTTGCTTTAATCATGATTTGTTAAACATGTAAGAAATAAGCCAGAATTATCTTAGAATGCACACAAATAAATTAAGACTATCAAGTCAATCTCAGTTTGCTTTCTCCACCATCTCTCTGTCCAATACTCAAAAGACTGGAGCAAAACAAGATTCTAGATTTGTCATTATGAAGCAATTATTTCTCAAACCAATCTCTTTTTGCACCAATCAACTTACCCGGCTATAGTCAATAGTCATGCGGCGGGCACTCAGTGCTGGTGACCTTGGATAGTGTGGAGTGGAAGCATTGCTTTGGCTTTCAGCCTTTTTCATGTTGTCTGTTATGTCTCCAAGAACATGAATATCTGAGGAATAAGTATTCTCCCTAGAGAAATTGCACTAAATTAGCCTTCTAATTTAGGTTGATACAGATAAACAAAAAAGGAGAAATTACCTAACAGAAATGATGTTCCGTCAGTAGTTCTAAAGTAGTTAGACAAATACTTTAGAGGCATGAGGACATTTTAACCTTGCATCACCTGGATAGCAATCTTAATGCCATTTAATACCATTTTACATATATCTATCTAAAATCAAAGAGAACAAGCTGATTAAAATTCTCAATCTAGCATCTTATATATGTTTTAAAGTGTAGTAACCAGGGTTAAGCAAAGAATAAAAATTAAATTAAATTAAAAATAAAATAAAATAAAATAGAACATGTTTCTAAAGCCACGTATTTGTCATTTGCAGAAAATCTTGGGAGTTCTAGGTGACTTTAGGAGTGCCTTAGCATGGTAGCAACAAGGGATTGGGAAAGTTGTAAACCCCATTCTATTTTTCACTTTTTAAACACAGCTACTCACTGGGTTCTAAGTGGTCATTTTGTCAGGGAATCTTCTAGGGTCAAGTGAATACCTACCTTCTAGTTTAGCAAGAAGTTAATGTCTTCAAAAGTTATAAAATACAAATCAGTTTAATTGCTCCTGGGAGAAGACTGGATATATGTTTACAAAAAGCTTAATTAAAGAAGATGTTTCATAATATTTATTGTTTTTTTCATTCAGGAAAGTTCTTTATTGATTTCTTCTCGCCCCAACATTTTACATTCATTTTCACAATTATCTGTCAAGTGATGTAAATGGATCTAAACTATGGCAATACATTTACATTTTACATTTCCCCAATATAAGCATGTAACATTTGTTATAGCTGATTAACAGACCTTCATGGGACGTGCCCCATTATGTAGTAGTTTAGCATGTGGGCCACAGGACATGGCATAATTGTTCTGACGCTGCTTGTGGGGTTGTTCACAACAGTCACATTCCAAAGATATCTGAGTTACATGCTATTTAGCTGCTCCAAATACCTCCATCTGTTTGTCTTTTCCCAAAGAGGACTAATGTCCTGATGTACCCAGTTTAGTAAAGCAAATGATTCAGAACTTGACCTGCCTTACAATTCCTGCCCAGTTTGGATTCTTATGACATTTCACAGAACTTTGTCTACTGTTCTTTTACTCAATAATTAACACAGGCCTATATATTGATATGATTCTACACTTGGATTTCTTAAGCTGATATTTACAAAATGTCATTCTCATTGCACAGGAAACTAATGTAACAGAAAGAGAATGATATATTTGCATTATGTTTGTTTAATTATTCATTAAATTTATTTGTCACCCAACTCAACCACAAGGTGACTCTGCTTGCAGCTTTCAATGTTAAAAAGAATCGAACAATGCAACCAAATGTATACAATAAGAGTAAAATACTATAAAATGTAAATGTTCTTTCATCTTAACTGATATTTTTAACTAAAATGTCATTTTATTTTATCATACAAATAATTTTGGGTTTGCACATTTGTTTGGCCACCCTGTTATTTCATATTCTGATTAGCTATTATGAAAAAACAAAATAGTGTTGTGATTCTTTGCAACAATGAAAAACTGTAAGAGAAATAGCTAAGGCAGCGATACAATCTGGCAACTCATATTTACCTTTCCCCAACCTGTTTTCTCTCTTGCCTTTTACAAGTATGTTAGATGTGTAGATAAAAGGAAATGTTTTATTTATTCATGAGTTGCCTCCCTTACTTCCCTACCCTCTTGCTGCTGGACAATACTATGGACTATGACACATTACAGGTTATACTCAATGGTCACACTCTGCATGTGAAATGGAATTTTTCAGAAGGTCAGAGTTGCTGTTTTGGTTCTTTTTGTACTAATGCCTGAGGTACCACTGAAATCTACCTTGTAAAGAAGAGGAAATTTCTAGAATGGCCTTGGAATGCATGTAAGGATAAAGAATTAAATGACTGGAATTGTGCATATGTAGCTCACCAGAAATCTAGTTATATGAGCAGAAAACTCTTCTAATTCTTTGCTTTGCATCCCAGATATTTAAACCAACCTGCAAAATTCCTGAGCAACAGCATTAAATTTGGAGATGGGATGAAGATGGCAGCCTACAAAGTAAAAGAAAGAAGCCACCCCACATGACTACAATTGTTCACTACTACACCATCCTGAAATCTGGCCACCCTGGTCATTAGGGTCAGATTCAAGGTGATTAACAGCCATGTATTTCTTATATTTTGCTTCTTTTCTTACACTAGAGAACATGAATGCAACAATGCGTATGAGTAGCCTATAATTAATCTGGTACTTCCTATGGGCATGACAAAATCTGCATATTAATGGCATTTAACCATTAATGTGGCTAACTCACTCTGGGAGCTAGGCAAGGTGAAGTCTGTGTACCTCTCATTTTGCAAGTGCAAAAGAAAAATGTGTGTGTGTACATTCAGAGAATTTGAAGAGTACTTTCTATAAAAAGGCTTCATTGAGGACTGCAACAATTGATCACCTTACTGGTTTCAAGATCTCAAATAAGCACTATAGTGTTAAAGAAATTACAAAACATAATGGAACATTTTGAGGCCTGACTGAATTTGAAAAATATATCACAAAAAAATTAAAACTATTGAATGTTGTATTGAAAAATGTATCAAACAGAATTCAAAACAAAATTCAACACAATTCAAAATATGTTGAGGTTTGTAGATAAATTGATGTTGAAATACAATTCAAAAACTGAAAAGTCAAAAACTGTATGTTAAATGGATGAAGAATTTAAACAAAACAATTGACTTTCAGTAATGGGAATATCAATGGAAGAAATCTAACATCAGTGAATTTTTCACTTGGGAAAACTGGTACAAGATTTTATTCATATACTATTCCAGTCCTGATTGCTAAGATAGAAATTTCATTCTATAAAATTGTTAAAACAGCAATAATCAGAACTTTTTTTCATAGTTGGTGGAATTCTACAAAGCAATATAAAAAAATAAATCTACTATAAAACCAATAATTGAGGTTGAATTCTCTTAAATATTACCAAACCTTATATTCTCATAAAATGTATTGTACTAGGCTTATATACAGTTACTTCTGTTTCTCTCTATGTTCCTCATTAGAAATTACCGTATATATAATCCCTTCTACAAAAAAATAGAAAATTAAATTGTGGAAATCAAATATAATTTTATATTTGAAAAACAAATCTGATGCAGAATTTAATTCAATATGGAAATTATTCTTGGATTATAATACTATATATAATCTTATAATTTGTACTTTTGGGTTCCTTATAATGTAAGGTTTCAACATTTAGCTTTTCTATGACTTGCTAAATAAGGACACAATTTTTAGACTAGAGAGAAATTACAACGGAAAATTATCCTCATTTATAATTTCTACTATACTTATTATTTTCATTAATTATTGTATATAATGTTGATTTGAACAATTAACTAAAGTCTTAAACTGACATAAGAGACTTTGTTACGTAGAATCAAATTAATGTTACTTTGAGATTTTTATTTTCTTTTATGATTGTACTGCAAACTTCTGCATACTTACTTTTGAATT